GTCTTACTTCTCAAGTCAAAACAGCCCCCCGACCCCCAAGAAAAAAAAAAGTTGTATTTTGAGAAGAATGTCATGATTAAAAAAATGTTTAAAAAAAAAAAAAAAAACACCAATTCCAAATATCTACTGGACAGTATATTTGAAATCGGAAAAGATCATGCCAGTGGTCGGGAGGTCATGTCGGCGTCAAGCGGGCTGGCGCTGATCTCGTTAATGAAAACATCGGTGCCTGGAGCCCGGGTGAAAACCTTTCCATCTGCGTGAAGAATCAATTCGGGGGCGCGACCAAGTGTGCAGACGGAACGACTGAGTCCCGGGTTCAGACTTGCATATGAGGACGCTTGAGGTCAAAAAGGGGCAAAAAGGGCCTGGCTGCTTCTGAAACGCATTAACAGCAAAGCCAAGGCAACGTTTCGAGCAGCCACGACAAAAACAAAAGAAAAATCTCCACCCATAGACCCGCTCTGTATCGAATAGAAAACACATTGACCCTTTTCTTGTGAGGCTCCAGATGAAGACCGAAGAGCCGGTCTGCCTACTGCCGCGTTCTCTGACCTCCACCCTCATCAAAGCCGAGCGACCTCACCACACTTTTGGGGTTTGGCCGCTCCCCGCCAGCGCCCGATCGGGCCGCCGGGGCGAGGGATAGGCGCCGCGGATCGGCGCCACGCTGGGACGGACCTCCCCGGAGGATTCGCTCGGCGACTAAACCGCAGCCGGAGCCCCACGTGACGCGTGGTAGCAAAACGGGGGCAATTTGTGCCTGCTGCTTATGTTGAGTTACGCAACAACAAAATGGGTGTACGTTAAGTAAAAAAAAAAAAAAAATTATTGGGGAGGCACACTTTTCAGGAAAAAACATCAATTAACATTTGCTGCAAAAATGGCTGAACTTTAGAAAAAGAAGTAGTTTTACTTTTTAAAAGATGTTGAGCAAGAATAAACTGTAATGGTACTAGAAAAGGAAGTTGTTGTTTTTTCTTAAAGGGGGAATGGCACAAAAAAGGAGGAGTGATAGTGATCCAGGAAAATTGATGAAATTGTCCTCATCATCAAGAAATCGTTTAGGCAAACAAATGAGAGATATTTTTTCGGGAAAAAGGCTGACTGTTATGAGTACAAAGATGGCTAAAGAAAAAAAAGACGTGATGTTATGAGAAGAGGAGCTGCAATTTGATTTAAGAAAAAGTCGTGTTTTTCGAGAAAAACAAAAAGTAATTGTGGGGGCTGTCTGGTACAAGAAAAAAAACATACACACAGCCCACAGCGGGTCAGAGGTCATCTTAGAGGTCTTCAGGAGCGCTTTTTGGAGCCGTCATCATTTTTGGATCAGATCTTCTGTTGACGACGGGATGGCTACAAAACATGTCCATCATCTTCATGAAGGTGGACTGTGATTCAAATCCGAAAAAAAACCAACAAAAAATGATAACACAATGATCAAAAAACAACCAAATCCACGCACACTCAATATTTAGTACCAATCAAAGGTCAAAGGTCATGTTAAAGATCAGACGCCCAAATCACAAAATATACACTTTTCATCGGCAAGGTGCATTCGGCTTCCGGCTCGGAAGCAACCCTGAGCCGAACGTCAGTCTGAGCAGGACGTGATGAGAGCCTCCACTTCAATGTCACGGCGGCCGTCAGAAAAACAGGAAATGACGGACGCTACCTGTCCCGGCGAGGAACAATACGCAGGAAGTCAACTTTAGCCCGCAGCGCGGCGTGAACGAAGGCGTCGGCGCTCTTCAACTGAGCCGGCGGCCTGAGGGAGGCACGAGGCCCCACGCCAGGTGCGTCATGGCACAATTGGAGAGGTGCGGCTGAAAAGTTCTACAGGAGCAAGCAGAGAACCCCGGAGGGAAACGTTGGCATGGGAAAGGAAAAGAAAGGTTGGGAATTCATGCCGTCATGAGATGTGGACCACCTGGTACGCAACAGGCTAAAGGTTCATGTTCAGCCCTCCCAGACAAAAGAACTGGAGGAGGTTTTTGTTTGTTTGTTTGTTTTTTATGGCAATGTGGACACAAACAGCGTGTTTTTGCTTTTCTTTTCGCACTTCTGCGGGATCAACACATTTACTCTGAGGGGGGAAAAAAAATCTTTCGATCTAGCTATCTAAGTCTGGGCTGCAAAGTCGAGTACGGTGGGAAGATGAACATCTGGACTCCTCACGTCAACAACTGTGTGTCGTGTGTGTTTGAAAAGGCGTTTTGCCGACTCACGCTTTTGACATCAGGTGTGATTCACAATCTTTGAAAAGTTCTAAATCAAAAAAGTAAAAGCTACGTGTTGAGTGCAAATAATAGCCTGAGACGTGATTCATGTGCACTTGTGCTGACTCGTTTCCTGTAAACGACCAAAAACGCCACAACGTAACGCTATTAAAACGACATTCATACGCACAGCTATGCTATCTTAGCACGCTAACGAACAGCAAGCTCGTCACCATGTTATTTTTTCCCCCCCTCTGGAGTAAGAAAGGTCTCATTCAAATCCAGATCCAATTCGTGATACAACACTACAAATTTCCCTTATTTTCAACGCCATAACTTTTTGGATGTAGCTTATTAGATTTGTTAGCTAGCTTCGTAACTCGCTGCTAGCTGTTGATTGTATTAAATGATTGTATTCTTTTGAGACGTTATCCCGTAGGTTTTAGTCAAGTGTTTTCAAATGTTAAAGAAAAGCATTTGAATGTTTTTTTTTGTTTGCTATTTCGACTTGTTTCTATTGGATTTTGTTTTTTATTTAATGTAATTTATTTATAAATCAGGTATTTGAAGTTATTTGTCCAAAATTACAACAAAGATATTACACTTAATAATTCTATTTTAATTTTGTCCCCGACTTACATCATATATCAATAGATACCTTTTTTTAAATTTAGAAGTTTGGATAATATTCTATTTCACAATCCATAATTCAAATTTATTTCTTTATGATATTTCATTTTTCATTCAATTAAGTTAATTATTTTGAAATACACGACAAATACTACTCCCAAAATAATAAACACAAAACAAATGGACTGGATATGAAGGGAAGTTAACAAAGTAAAACCAAAATAAAGTCAAGCTACTCACCCACCCAAGAGGACCATACGGTCACCTGGTGGCGTTTTGTCGGTACTGCTAGTTTAATTGTGGTAATAATAGTCAGCCAAGTTCCAATTCCTGTTCTAGGGTTATCATTATACATAAAAAAAGACAAATAATAGCAGACTTTTGCCATGCTGGAGGCCGGTGTGCATGCATACATGTGTGTGCGTCTATATGTGTGTGTGTGTGTGTGTGTGTGTGTGTGTGTTTTCCAGATGTGATGCAAGGCACCACCGCAGAGACACGCACCACGGTCATGCCTGAACGCCACGAGACATCTCGGGCTCCACACGTGTTTACGTGGGCGTGCTTCGGCTCTGCCCGCTCCTCTCCTAATCTAACAATTGTCAGACAAAACAAGACACGGGGAGAAAGAGAAAACACCCTCCAGCTCATTTTCTTCGCACCTTTTCCCCCTGTGACTCATTTAACAAGCACACGGTGATGACATCACACACATCACACCACCTCAACTCACAAGGTGCCGGAAAGGTTTGCATGCTCAGTCTGCACATTGAGACACACACACACACACACACACACACACACACACATTCACAAAAGCTGAACTCATATGGAAAACACCCATTTTATTTTTGCAAAGATAAAAGATGCTTCAATGGTAAACACATTTATCGCTCGGTTAATGCAGTAATGAACCTTTTTTTTCTTGTATTATTTTCCTTTTTTGGGGGGTGGAGGCTTGTATAAGGTCATCTTTTTGTTAGATTATTCGACATTTAAATATTTGAAAATGTTTACATCACAAATTCTTTTTATTTCAGTCAGTTTAGAGTCTTATTTTATTGTTAAGTCCATTTTTATTACACTTTGTTTCTATTGCACTTATTTTATTTGGAATTGTATTTATCACTTATTCAAAGTAATTTTGCCTAATTAAAAATAAGGTTCTTTTTTTTAATCCATTAAAAAAATAAATCAATGTGATTGTTTTCGTTGTCTGCTTTTAAAGTATTGTATTGTATTATCACATGATACTGTATATATTATTTTTAGTTGTTCCTGTAACCTAAGACAAAAGACATACTTGATCAAAGACCTCGATTACTTAAATATTGAATCTGGTTGTCGGCAACAGCCGTTTGTATTTTATTCCGTTTTGAATCAGAATTGTTTTCATATTTTTGATATTGTTATTGGTTATACACATAAATGAGGTGTTTCGTTGCATTTTATTTTATTTTTTCTTCGGTTTTGGTTTCGATGTGACTTGCTGGGGGTCGGAGGGGGGGGGGGCTTTTCTTTTCCTTTTTGTTTGCCGTATTCTCCTGATTGGATGCATGCATCATAGCATTTGTATTTCAGTGTGGCAGCGACGTCACAGAACGCCATGCTGATGATTTCTGACTTGAAAGGACGTGATCCTGCAAAGCATTGTTTTCGATGACTGACAGGAAGCCAAAGGAGAGGATGCGCGTGCGCCAGGAAGATCCGCTCCAAACTATTCAATCAAACGGGACAAAACTGGCCTCAGATCTGGCAGGCTCACAAGAGCAAGAAAAAAAAAAGAAAAAAAAAAGCAGACTGACTCCTGCCGGCTGATTTGGAGACAGTGCAACGGCAAATGGCGCCCCCATGTGGTCAAAAGCACAATAGCCTGAGAATGATCATCATGATCCAAAACGGGGCTTTAAAGCATCAACACAAATTAGAGCTCAGTAATGTCAACATCGGTGAAATCTAACATGTAAAACACAATTTCATACAGAAAAAAAGCATTGTTGTCAACGGATTAACTAGTTGAACATGTTTGGATTCTTTAGTAATCCAAAATTCATCCATCCATTACCGAACCACTTATCTTGAAACAAAAAATATTGTTCACCTGACAGGGCCAAAGAAGCCCCAAAATAAATTAGAAAAACAGTAGAAAACGTCGAGCAGTTGTCTTTATTATGGTGATTTTAGTGCTTCATGTATCATCACTGCTATTTGGTGGAAACATTTCAATTGCAGCATTCAAAAAAAATAAAACGGCACAATCCAACATACACCACACAATCAAAGAAAGACAAAAAAAAAAAAAAATCACAAAAATCTCAAACAATCCCAGAGAGTTGCTGGTGCACAGTTTGCGTGAATATTTCTTGTGGTGCTTGGAGGAACGATAATTGGCGGCCATCCGGCCGTGTGCATGCGCCCACAATGTTCGCACTTCTTTTTTCTACACTTTTATTACGATAAGATGCAAGCGATGAAGGTTTTAGGGGGGAAAAAAAACTGTGTCATGTACCAAAATAGTATGGCCAAAAGATGCCTACGCTACTCACTTCAGTAAAACAACAGCCGTAGAGCTCAAATCGGGTCGATATGACGTGCTCCTCTTGAGCTAGCTGTGGAGGCTAAGCTAACGTGTCTGCTCCATTGCATTTGAAGGTACTCCCTCCCCTGCTAACATGGTCGCCGTGCCATCCGTGCATTGTTTTGATGGGAAAGTCACTCCTGTCACGATGTGCAACACATTGAGGCACTTTTGAGCCTGCTCGAGTCGACTTACTGTCAAGTGTGTTGATCTATTACGAGAGCAGTGCAAGCCGTAAACACGTGACCGGTCACCATCCGTTGAGGGCGCCGCAGCGACATTGGGTGTCGCTGTGGAGAATTTTAGCCAATTCTGGTACTAAGAGACTGAAAAGTACGGTGTCGAGGGGCGTTTTTCCGTGGAGCCGGAGACTATTTTCTGTCCAGTGAATCTCGGTTCCGAGTCCGTTCGATCGAGGTTCCGCCGTATGAACAAACACGACAAGAGCTACAGCGGAACCAGATCGAAAATTACATTTATACACATCGTAGATTTTTTTTATGTCATCTATTCGAAAATATGTTTAACAGTTCAAAAAATTCCGCAAGAGGTTGAATTCGTCCACCGTTCCGGTTACCCGCATTATGATTTCTTTCTTACCTGCAGTAATACCTGAAATTCCCGGGCGAGGGGTGAATTTCATGGATGTTTTCTTAGTCGCTCTTGGCCAGGCTGGCCCTCCTCAACTCGGCCAGTTTGCTGGTGACAAAGTCCCACTTGAAAGCCGCGTCATCGTCGCCGCCCGCTCCTCCTCCCAGCGTGATGTATTTGGAGAAGCCGTTGTTGCCGTCGCTCTCCCGTGGCTCCGCCTCCTCCGCGCCGTCCATCTCCGCCGCCTCGGACGGCCCCGCCGACGCAGATTGCTCTTCCTCCTCCTCGGGCGCCGCCGCCACCCCCTCTTCGTCCTCGGTCCTCTTGCGGGTGGCGGCGGCCTCCGCCTGCTTCTTGGCAGCCCAGTTGGCGGCGAAGCTATCCCAGAATCCACTGCGGCGAGTGGGCCTGGAAGGTTCCTCTGGCTTGACTGCAAGTGGACTGGTACGTTACAAATATGGGAATCAGGCATTGGGGTTGCTTTTTTTTCGTAAGTAGTGGCTATGTTACAAAAAAATACATTTATCTATACACACACACACACACACACACACACACACACACACACACACACACACTTTATAGTCTACTGACTGGTCAGCGATTGGCGTCTCTTGCAATAGTTGGTGCTCGTCTTCTTTATTGAAGAGAGCTGACAGTCTGTTCCAGCTCTTGGTCCCCGCTCCCTGCATCTGGACACACACACACACACACACACACACACACACACACACACACACACACACACACACACACACACACACACACACGTGCACAAAGTCAAAGGTCAACGGAGGTGTTCACGTCGGAAATGGCATTGAGCGTACTTTGCGGGCCAGCTGGGAGACGACATTCTGGGCTTCGTCTTGCTGGACTGAACTCATCACGTCTTCATCCACCTCACTCACCTGAAAACACCCACACCCACCCACCCACACACACAAAATGAAGGTCTTGGCCTGGTGTGTCACTACAAGCAACGCCAGACGATCCCTCTGTTGTACTTCGGTGCCGGATTGAGTTTCTCGCGACTCTTTTTGGGTGGGTCATTTGTGACAGAGCGAAAATGAGGCCCACTGGAGCGTTTCTCCAAGTGTGGGGCTCCCTCTGGTGGTATGTGAAAGAATCACTGGCTAAGTACAGTTGGGACGTCTAACGTTATACATTTGGATCTCGCAGGAATGTTTGTTTGTAAAACTTTTTGATTTTTCCACTTCACTGTGACGTCAAATACATTTTTGAGACTCTGCTGGGAAAGGTGACGCGTCCGCCAAAAAGGAGTCATTTAAAAGCGCAATCAGTCATCTTGTCTTTGCGAAACGGTTCACAGAGGAAGCGTCACGCACCACAGGCCTTCAACGGACCTTGTTTTCGGAAAGTCAGCGTTATTCATGTCTTTGTAATAGTCTTTTTGGATTCAGATTCTGCGTTGGTATCACACGTAAGGCCTACCCAACATTGCGGGGGATGGCCGGTGAGATTGGTCGAGAAAGTACGTACGTCGGTCGGTACCTCTTCAGCCAAGTCGTCCGCGTACTCCAGGTTGAGCGTCTTCATGACTTTGCTCTTACAAAGCCTCCACAAAGGATTCATGCTGCCCTCGGCTGGACGCTGCTCCGATGCCGCCTGAGCGCCGACTAGACTTCCTGTTCTCTGGCTTCACTCAACCTGGTCCTCTTTTCCCGCTTCACCCAATGGTCAAGGAGCAGCAGACAGCCAGGAGGAGGGAGGCCTGGAGCAAAGCATCAAGAGAGCCCGCGCACCTGCAACTGCGTCTGTACTGTTCCTCTACTTGGACACACACACACACACACACACACACACACACACACACACACACACACACACACAAACACACACATCCATAGACTGAGTGGGC